ACTGTCGTATAAAAGAACCATTATAGTAACAATTATTTTTATAAATGGAGAAATACATACGTTGTTATTAATAATAGTGATGGGATCAGTTAATCTTCTAAAGCGCCGGTCAAAATCACATATATATGTATCTTGGGATTTGAGTTTAATAGTGTTAAATCTAGAATTATTAGGTTAAAACTGTCTAAATGTAGGTTTAGGAACTTTCAAACTAGCTCTAAATTACCAGATCAATAGCTTGAGGCAAGACTGGAGACTATTCTCAATACGAATTAGCCGAGAACATAAAGAGAATTGATGTCGTGTTCGAAATGGCTGGCAAGAAAAAATACCATGTAAGGACGACATTTAATTCCGGTATTTTTGAACTAATTTTACGTGTTTATGTTATTCAAATCACAGTTTTATTGATCGTAGTTTGCTTTCATGCCACTTAACAAACTCCAAGTACTCTAATACTCAACCTATATACCAATATCTAACCTTTTATCATCAATGATCAAACTTTTATTAGCTTCTTATCTTCGGTAAGATCTGTCTGTTAAAGATAAACTAGAGTTACGTCCCATTAAATAAATCTAACCGCAGTTGACACTTTGTTTCACTTTGTATGATTATGCACATAAAATGAACATTCCCCAAAATGCGTTTAATGATATTTCGAAATATAATATCATGTGTCCCTGAAATGTCATGTTTTTGAGTTATTGAATATTTAACAAACTGTGTCGAAAAATTACAAGATTACAAGATGAAGTAGAATTTATGTCATAAGTTTGTATTCTCAAATCATTTTCTAATGCACAGACCGAATGATTAATTGAATATAACAGTCGAACAAACACTCAAATGTCCAATAATTGAGGATTAGAAACACATAGATGACGTGTGAGTTTAAATACTGACAAATTTGAACTGCTTCATGATTCGATGTCGAAGTAGAATAACGACATTTTTAATCAATATGAAGCTATTGATGACAATTTATGCCTCGAGAGAATCAATTGCTTTACTTGCCACTTCATATCAATCACAATGACAGTTCCAATAAACTAATAATACAACATGACAATATATAGCTAACCTGGTTTTTATTTATTTAATTTTGACAATCTCATCTCTAATGACATAGTTTTTGTTGTAACTTGTAGATAAATTACATGACAAATCTAAATGGACATAATGGATATAAAATGTTTCAGAGAGATTAGAGTGCAGTTACCTTTAATAGGGTTGACCTTCAAGATGCTGTGGCCTGCCGGGGTACAATTGTCTGAAGTTGTTCGAAAGAAAAAAATTATTAATGTTTATTTGGATACTAAAGATGTTGCTGTAGTAAACATAGCAACTGTTGCATTTGATGATCTACCCATTGATCGTACAGTTATATTCCCTTGTCCCCATGAATAAAGTTTAACAATCGAATTAAAATCTAAAACTACCCAGTGTACCGTGGCTTGATTTTAGAGCACTCTTTAATTCTTTTTAGGTAACTCTTACTACATAGTAACCATAGTTGTCTATCAACTCTTGATATATAAAGGTAAAGCAAAAAACGTCAATATTTCTTTAGAATCTGAGGTAGGATCGACATGGACCCGCTTGAAGAGTTGATGAATTAATTCTATACTGAGAGCAATATCTGTTAGAAACTCTGCGGGTTTAAAATGAAAAATAATATAAAATTAAATCGATGAAAGATAATATTTAAAGTCATTATAAATGACAAATGACAAGACTAAACCTGTAGAGACAGACTATATTACGATCCCGATATTTGTTGTACTAATTTACTGCTGTGGTAACAATCAATTAGTTTTAAAGAAAATTGGTTCCATATACATAAAGTAACCCATCGTTTCCCATTCCGTTGTATGCTTCTCAATATGAGATCCTCTCAATGACTTGTATGACCTGGGGTCGACATATCTCGGCCAAGTTTTATGATATGTGCTCAACCTGAGCGAGCAATTTTACACATTTGTAAGTACATGGTAGCATAGTTTGCATAATGTCTTACTGCATGGTTGGAATATATAATGTCTTACTGCATGGTTGGCATATATAATGTCTTACTGCATGGTTGGCATATATAATGTCTTACTGCATTGTTGGCATATATAATGTCTTACTGCATGGTTGGCATATATAATGTCTTACTGCATGGTTGGCATATATAATGTCTTACCGCGTGGTTGGCATATATAATGTCTTACTGCATGGTTGGCATATATAATGTCTTACTGCGTGGTTGGCATATATAATGTCTTACTGCATGGTTGGCATATATAATGTCTTACTGCATGGTTGGCATATATAATGTCTTACTGCGTGGTTGGCATATATAATGTTTAACAGTTTGATTGACATAATGTCTTACTGCATGGTTGGCATATATAATGTCTTACTGCGTGGTTGGCATATATAATGTTTAACAGTGTGGTTGACATAGTGTCTTACTGCATTGGTTGGCATAATGTCTTACTGCATGGTTGACATAATGTCTTACTGCATTGGTTGGCATAATGTCTTACTGCATGGTTGGCACATTAATAAGATCTGTATACTACATTGGTTGGCATAATGTCTTACTGCGTGGATGCAATAATTTGCTATGTTAATAATTATTAATGCGCTTCTCTCCGTAAACTCTTAATTCACACCGTTTTCTTCCAATTATTGAAAATCTACAATAATGTTATATAGGGCCTATGAGTTTAAATTGATTTCTTCATACAGAGAGAAAAAAACAGAGGAGTAGAATTTCAACACGAATTTATCACTTGTCATTGATGTAGAAGTTATTAAATTTGTATGTCATTAATGTACTCTATATTAACAAACTTATATTTCAAAATATAATTGTGTATCGTTCGTCATTACAAAGGACCTATAATGGCAATATGTTAAACCGTGGTGTGTACAGTGGAGGGCGTGTTGCTGAATTTAACCTCACCCACGTTCAGTTGTCTGAAGCATTCGGGTATTTTATTTGGTAATATATAGCCTTTGCTGTCAGATATCGAAACTAAATTTGTTTAATGTATTTAATCCGAATAATCTTGCTAAAAATTGCTGGTTGTGTAATATATTTAACCCAAAATAATCTTACAAGGGGATTGCTACCAAGGTCAAAATTTCGTTTTTTATGTTATATTTTGGTGATGATGTAAAAGAAAAAGCTATTACTCGATCCGCAAAGTTATTTTTTCAAAATGTTCAGTGACCTGTAATTAGGTAATGGTATTGATAGTTTCGTCATGAAATATACAATGAAGCTTTATTTGAGATTTTTTTATATTTTACAATTAGTTCTATTCAAGCAAAAATATTTTATGTTACAGACTATTCAGTATGTGATCAAATGTTTGATTTACATGTTATTCAAATACTTCTTGGAAATGTCAACGTTAAATGTGCCATAAAACTACATTTTGGGTAGAAATGAGAAATTGATTGCGTATTTTCCCAAATGTCAAAAGTTATTCAAGTGACAAATATTTTCAGTGGAACTATAAGCCTTCAAACAATCTAATTTGGTTGTAAATCTTTCAGAGATGATATTGGCAATTTACGTCTGATAAAACAACATGATATGTCTCAGAAACAACATGACGATATTCAGACTAGAGTTGACTTGATATTCTTTTTTTCCCTGGAACCTGTCAACACTGAAGGCAAAAATCCCCTGTTGGCTCTTCAAGAAGATTTGTTTGTTAGGGCATATTGATGTGAATTCAGACTGATAGACGGTGTCTGATTATAAATTGGATTTTTACAAGAGATAGATCACGACACTCTCTCAATCTGCCAGCGGTCTAGTTCTGTTTGAGGTTTGAGGTTTAGATAAAGTCAATAACTTTTACAAAGCCAACGGCTATTAAAAAGTTGACACTTGTCTGTGTCTTCCTCATAAATTTACCAATCAATTACAGGTTCTTCATTAGGACCTAACAATTTGTAAACTGTTAACAGAATGCTACCTGTAGCTCATGAGTCATGACAGTATATGCATATTCACCAGTGGACTTCATTCTAAGAGGTAGTATTATTCCTATAATAAAAACTCACGAAATATTATTAAAACAATTTATTATACTACAAAATATACCACTATATACTTAATAATAATTACAGCATTTATAGATAGTTTAATTCAGTTCAATTTAATTCAATTGTATACTCATCATTCTTTTGGCATTTATATGTGTCATGGGAGGTAAAGAATTTAAGCCAATTTGAATCTAATTTGTCAAAAGAAAGCAAACTGACATCGATCAAACATAACACAAAACAGAACAATTCGTTGACAGTTTTACACAAGGGAATATTCACAGAAGTTGATTGTAAGTAGAAATCAGCTGTTATTAACACAGTTAGGAAACGGAACATGAGTAGACACTGACACAATATGAGTGATTCTGTTTCTTCGTCAATCTGGAAGTCTAGTGGCTCTTTGTTTTATTGTACATATCACTCCAGACATTTAGGTAGTATAATATTGCATTTATGTCACAATCAGGCCTTACCCTCCTTCCACAAAATCATTTTAGGACAGTAAAATTCCCGTATGGTAAAATCACCACCATTCCAAGATGATAATAGGCCGCTCTAAAGTAGAATAAATGTTTTTGACTTGCATAGCAAAAATACTGACCACTAATTCAGCGATTCTGAATACCACAAGTACCATAGTACACCACCTTCATACCCATACATGGGTAATAATTGGGACGCGGAAGTAAACATTCATACCATGATCAGAATGACCGCATTGCCCCATATCAACCCTGGTATCACAGTCATTGGTCATTCAGTATCTGACCAGAAGTAGAAGTCAAATTAGTAGCCAGATTGACTGTTTCTTCTGCTGAATCTCGTAGATTAAAATCTTCATTGTAAATTCATTTATTATGGCCTTGATTTTTTACACTTAAGGATTGGACTTGTTTTCCAAACTTGAAAACTGAATTATTTCCCAAATTAAAAAATCTAGTCCACTATTGAAACGGTATCGTTGTTATTTTTGTCATTGGACTGATTATAAGAAGGACTAACGTAGACACTGATGTAATTGTAATGAAAATGATAAAAAATAGTTTATCCATCACACGAGCAATTTCTTGCCATTCCACTACAGCTAACCGTTCACTTCTACCCCGTTCATAAGCCTCTAAAACACACTTCAAATACCTTAATATTTCTTTTTCTAGTTCAGAATTTGGAGTTTGGCGACCATTAGATCCTGGATTTTGTATTGATCGTTGATTATTGTCGATTAGTCCGTTAAGGTTTAGGTCAAGTCGCGGCCTGTCAGTCGGGTTATTGTTCTCAACTTTCCCATTTTCTATCAAATTCTCAGATTCGCCTTGATTGTCAATCACATCTTTATAGCCGTCTGTTTTCGTGATATAATTAAGTTGTACACATAATAATCTACCAAGTAATAAAGCACCCATTTTGATGTATTTGGAGGGACGATGAAGTAGAACTCCTTTATGATGACAATTGAGTACAAATACTGAGAGAGCAACAGAGAGGGCACTCATAGCCATAATAACTGTAAGATAAATACCTGAAATTATATACAAGATCATTATTATCCATGGCATTTTGATTGATGAAGGAGCTTAATCATGTTTCTTTTTTAAAATAATCACGTCATTTTCCTTCGATGATAGATGCTTTGATCAAAATCATTATCCATTATATCGTTATTATATAAAGACAATGTTTAAACTGTAATATTATAAAGTGTGGAATAACTATAGTCACATTTTCTAACAAACTGATTTATATTTCAATACTAGTGTTATTCATCTCATTGAATTTTTACATACATTCACCACACGCTTACAAAAAAATCTAGTCTAGCCGTTTGGTTGGGACAATGTGCTACATACTGTGCACTCGACAGTTGGAAATCGATAAAATCTAGGCTTATGCCTCTATATTGACCAAATGTCCCTATTGCACACCGCAAGGTGTTTTCTGTCCTCATAACTCCACTCAGGTGCAGAAAAGTGAGATGAAAAACTCATTTCATTTACAATTTGGACTATTCGAGTTTTTTAAATAGAAAGACTGCATTATAACATCCTGGCTTACCTATAAGAGGGATATATTCAGATGTTGGTGGCATATTTTCAGCTACCAATAACATAAATACTGAGAAAGCAAGTAACACAGTTAAACCAAGCGTCACTTTTTCACCAGAATCTGGTGGAAGGAGAAATCCAGTCATTGATAAACTAGACAGTAACATACATGGTATAATAACGTTGAAAAAATAATATAACACACGGCGTCTTATATGTATATAAAATGTTACATCAGGAAACGGTTCCCTACAACAAGGGTAAAATATCACATTTCTTATAACTTTCGTATCAATCAACGTCCATTCACCATTATCAACATAATTTTCAAGATCTATATCAGTACTTCTGTTTGACACGTCCACTTGAAATCCGTCGTAAGCCCATGATCCTAGCTTTAATCGACACACTTGGTCATCAAATGGGAAGTATGTGATATCCATTTTACAAGAACTTCTCATTCTAACTATTGGTGGCCAGAAGACCTTTCCATCAGATTCTACCATTGCTAAACTCTTCATATAGCCTTTATTATGATTATCAACACTAAAATTTAAAAAAGTAAAAACCAAAAACAAAATGTCTATTGCATGAAAGTAATGGATTCCCAAAACAATCTGATAGATATTGATATTTGTTTTCTATTTGCAAAATTTCATTTCATTGCATTTGCCACTTAATGAATAACTCCACTGGTATAATGGAAGAAAATATAGTCCTTGGTTGATGCAACCATTAATGACAGAACTTGTATTTAATTAGTTCTGGCTGCTCATAAAATCAAGATTAGCATATAACCCAAGGAATGTCACAAACGCATAAAGGAAAAACAGGCATATATTTGGAATTCATTGATATTTTCTTTAAAAAGATTTCGCTAATTTGATTTATTCATAACATTTCCTGAGACGTCGATTTTCTAAAGTAGTAGACATATCTATTCTATTATCTGACAAACAAACATATTGTTACAGAGTCAAAGCCTTCGTTAATATTCATGGAAATACAGACGTGAGCATATGAGCTGGTAATGTAACATTATCTGATTACGATACACTGGCTTACCTGTTATATAAAACAATATCTGGTAACCAAAGTAATTTACAAGGTATTCTAATGATGGATATATTACTAAACTCTTCTTTATTCCACGACAACTTCTCATCATACCATTCCTAAAACAATTGCAGATATTTATCGTATTTTCTGTAAAGATTTCATTTGATGCCTTAATTTAGATCTGTTTAAACCAAGCCAGCATTAATGGAGATCTTTCAGTAAAAACATCTTATTGTGTGGTGCATATTTATAAAGGGAACATTGGAAAAAATGAAATGAATGGAGTTTTACGTCCTACTTTTCTGCACTATGTGGGCTAATGAAGACGGGCAACTATCAGGTTAGCGAGCAAATGTCTAACTCACTGAGCCACCGCGGCTTCCAAATGGAACTTTGGAGAATTTGTTTGCTCAATGTTTTGTTTCAGCCTTGAATGCTTCCAATTTATCTAACGATCTATTGAAATTCGGTCTGAAAGAATTTTGAGAAATATAAATATCATATAGTTATTATATAGACAAAATCAATTCTAGAAGATTATTGTTGAAGTAATTGATCAGTAGGAAAGTCACGAATTTAATAATGAATCAAATTCAAATCTTTCCGAGCAATTAAATTAAAAATAGGTTTCGCCAATAAAAGGCATAACTACTAACTTTAAGTTCTTTTCAATGTAATTAGAAATTGATTTTTCAATTCACTTCATCGTCTCTTTCGACTGTATGCAATAAAAATCAAGATTTGTTCAGTCATGCATCTTGATGCTGAGTGCAAGCAAGAACAAATAGTTTTGTTTTGTTTCTCATTGGAAAGGCTTTTACAGCGACAAAAAATTGGCTCAGAGTGTGTTAAAGTCGTCATAAGAAAATCGCGCGGTCAATCAGTTCTGGAACGCGTTGAGAAAGCCGTACCCGCGTGGCAATGATGCAACAATTGTTAAACGGTGACTGAGTGTCGTCCTTTAAGCGACCCTCGAGATTCTCAGAGGGATCACATTTCCACTGCCTTTAAAGAGTTCTGAATACTACTTCTGAGCGGTTTATCAAACTTGCAGCATGGATCGACGATGATAAGAAAACTGGTTGTATATTCAAGGTTAGAGGACGGCTAGTAAGAACCCAATGTTGGAAGCTGCACGTGCTTAGAGCGTTACAGTCGTGGCAAACGCGCCGAGGAACACAATTTAGTCGCATGGGTCGTAAGTATGCGGGCAGCTGTTTTGGGCTTGTAAATTAAGGGCAGGTGCTATGAAATGGCGTATACGAGAAATTCAAAGAATGTATAGAATGCACAATTCAACACATTATTTTGAAATATAAGTTAGTCAATATTGAACACATTAATGACATAAAAATCCAATAATTCAGAAAAACTTCTAAATCAATGACAAGTGATAAATTCGTGTTGAAATTCTACTCCTCTGTTTTTTTCTCTCTGTATGAAGAAATCAATTTAAACTCATAGGCCCTATATAACATTATTGTAGATTTTCAATAATTGGAAGAAAACGGTGTGAATTCAGAGTTTACGGAGAAAAGCGCATTAATAATTATTAACATAGCAAATTATTGCATCCACGCAGTAAGACATGATATATACCAACCACGCAGTAAGACATAATATATACCAACCACGCAGTAAGAAATGGCTCTTATATAAATTCGTAACTGTCACATTTTCAATATGTCAATTATGTTATAAATTCTTCTATCCCTTTGTTTCAACGAGAATACTTAAGAGAAGTTCTATTTTTGTATTCTGTAGAAAATTGATTTAATTTTAAAACTTAAAAATAATTGGTTAGATACATTTTCAATTCTTAGGAAATTTTAGTTATTATTATTATTTATAATTTAAAATTGTTGCTTTTATCCTCCTTGTTGGATTAAAATGCCTTAAGTCATTGACATTTATAGAAAAGGAATTATATAGATTTACCTGATCTAGCCAAACATTTGTAGATAAAACTTGATTCTTCTCGTCCTATAAATATATAATGAAACTAATACAGAGTGCAATGAAGTTGAAAACTAATCGAAACCGTAAAAAGCGGTTCCCAGTTGACCGTAAATAAAAATAAGACATATAGGTTTACATATATTGTACTTGCAAGAATTTACTTCACAATTGGTTTCATAAACTGGGCCTTAATTACGACCTGGCCATGAGGGGAGGGGGTACTAACAACAAAATCAAGGGCAGTTTCATTGCTCGAAACAGTGTTTATGACAAGTTTTGAAAATGTATACACTGAGTTGAAATATTTGAAAACTTTCGAAAACATTACGAATAGATTTGTGATCTGTCTCATTGCAAACCAAACCATTGGTGGACAGACATACCCTGGGGGTATAAAACTAGTCACAATAGTGTTAAAGCGAAAACAATAAGCTTCATCCGACTTCAGTGTTTAACTTACCACATCTAAAACTTGTGTTAAAGTGATACCAAGTCGTATAACCACTGGTTTTGCTGCGTCAAATACTGGTCTAGTATTGGGATCATAATGTTCTAATAATTTCTGTAATAATCGTTGTTCATCTGTTAATCTGGATACATTGATATTATGATATCTTAAATCTGGAAATATATAGAATAATCATTATGAAGGTTAAAGATTTCAAACTCCTTAGTTCGAACATAGTAAATAACACAGTAAGTCGAATCGATAATTCTTTTGGAATAGAGAGGCACGACTTATTTGGCTCTCTTAAATATTTAAACCAATGCTGTATACGGACAGACGAACGGTCCGAGTTCAGTCACCTCACGTTATAATACTTATATTAGGATCTCATCAGATCAATGATTGTGAGACAAATGTTTTGTGTTCATTGACAATAATTAAAAAAAAAGATTTCTTTAACAGGAACAGGTTCAGAATTTTTTAGATAAGCTAATCTGTTCTTGAGACTACGCCAATGGCTCAAATTATTGAGTGGGCCTGCTCACTTATTTGGGCCTGCTTATTAAGTGCATGGCTGGGGTAGTCGGAGACTGTGGGAGGATTAAAGACACAGCTATGTTGCCATCTACAGTAAAGGTCTTTAATTTTCGTGGATAACGGCCCTTGGTGGGGCCTAGAATAAGTGATTGTGAATCATTTTATATTGTGTGTTAACCTAAGATACTTACTTTGGTGATTTTGTTTCAATTTTATATTTTTTCTACCCCTGAGGGGTTGGAGAGCCGTGAACTTGGTTCAATAAGTCAACGGTAGTTGAGCCACTAGTCTCCATCACAAAAAAGACATATTCATACAAGTTTAGAAATAGAAAGCGAAATTTCTAGTTTGAATTATAATAGGAGGGATTATTCTGAAGACTATTTACAAATATCAAAAAAAAGCGGTATGACTACCAATATCACTGTATTCGTACTTTCGTCGGTAGACTATATAAATCAAATTGTTAAGTTTAAAATTTAAAAGTTTAAAGTGAGAATAACAGATTCTGAAATATGAACGTTGGCACAAAATTAATTATCACGTTATATTTTTTTCACAGATTGATTTTGACTGTATTCGCAATAAAGATTTCAGCACTTCTATAATTCTTGTATATTAAATCTTATATGTTCTACTGGAAATTAGCGCTAAATTGTTTGGTCGTTGATACTCTATTTTTTCGTTACACGAATAAGCAACAGCGTGATTATTATACAGTTTCAAGAAGTAGGACTATTTATCAAATAAACAAACGACTCACGATGTTTATAAATGAAATAATATTTAAATATAAAATATTATATATTCATTGATTCATTTTCAAACAAAGATATTGACTTCACAAAACACCACATGCTTTATACAAAATAGTACAATATTTCCGAACTAAACACGAAAGAAAACACCTCGCATCATTTCAAGCTGCATAAAACTCGTTCAAACTGCTATTTTTCTTGTAGAGGCATTTCTGGTTCTGAAATAACATCATTTATTGATTTTGATAATGATAGTTTTTAATCACGTAATTTAGTACCTCAAAATATTTCTACTAAGACCAGAAATCTAATATCAATGAGATCTCAGTTTAATTTTATATGTCATTCAGCATTATGATGGAAGAGAATTGTCACTTCCGGTTTCTAATGATGACATTTGAAACGATGTTTTAAAACTGTTTTAGTAATGCATTTGAGCAAAATGGATGAAACCATAACTTGCTACTGCATGGTTAGTCTTGCAAAAATATGAGCGGTACATCCACCAAACATTTATAATGTCCTAAAATTGTACCAAACATTAAACATACTACATAAAATCTAATCAGAAATACTTGGTGAACCTGAACATTTAAAAAATGTTAACTATTAACATTCAATTGATACATATATAATCCCAGAAAGTCTGTTACTTCATTTTTAGGTAAAGCCCGGTCTAAAATTTTAAGAAATGCAAGCCATCTTGAACAATTAAAGCTATCTTTAGTTTAATGCAGGTCTCCCCAAATCCTGAGGAAATAAAGAAATATATAGATACAATCATTTTGATTTTGATAACTTTCTCTTTATTTACCGGTTCCAGTAAAATTAGCTACTACATAAGAATTTAATAAGTATAATTAGCCTTAAACAATACACGTGTATGTGATGACAGTACAACACACAATCGAGTTCCAGCAATGATAAGACAAAGTGGTTTCTCTAAGAGTTACAAACATGCAATGTCTACCAATACATATTGTCTACCATCAATTACTTTACACATCACAGCTTTATATACTGGTTAATTATTCTGTCCAGACAATAGTTATGCAAATACTATTTCCCTTTAGTCTAACGTGGTTGTAAAACCTTACTTTAAACTCAAACCACATGCCAAACACAACCTAAATGGGTTTCAAGGGACTGTGAAACATAGTGCCTGAATCTGAAGAAGAAAAACATCTCTAGCGGTGAACGTTTAATACTCAAGGGCACTCAACTTGTCATTCATCAAATAACATTCAAAATACAAAATATTTTGTGAGTATTTAAATTCTTTTACTATGTTGACCTGAAGGAAATTCAATCGTCTGTTACAGATATACAATCAAAGAAATACAGGTTTTTTTTATTACATTAGCCTGGGTAATTCAGTAATGTCCCCTATGTTAGTACATGGTCAATGACTAAAATCGTGAAGAAACTTTATTGATCCATCAATAGGTAAGTTTCAAAAATCAGATCAAAACTGGGCTCTCTATCACGTTCACAAGCCAATGATTTTAAATTTTTGTTGAATCAATAATTAATAACTAAGAAACTGTTAAAAAAACGAACTCATCAATATACAAATGTCTCCCCAGAGACTGAGTTTGAGAGTTGTCATTAGTATGCTGCTCATTGGCTCATTCCAAAGACAAAAACAATCGCATGTATTTAGTGGATTTACCACTGAGAGAATAGTTTCCAGAATTTAACTGATACGTCATTGAGGAAGTAGTTAATACGACATTTATTTATCTAGATAACTGTTTATATGTAACGATATTTACATTGATAAAGTGATAACTAATGATTGAAATATTGATATTTATTTCTATTGTTTACGATCTCAACTCACTAATTAAAATCTGTGTAGAATATCAAATAAAACTGTAATTAATGATATGTCATTGTTCTTCGTTTGATTTCACTAAAGATCATTATCAACCACGATCAAACAATACAAATGACAATTAATGGTTCTCCATCCATCTTTATTACAACCAAGATGAAAAAGTCATTAATTACATCCTGTTAAGTAAAGTTATTTACAGTAGGGTTATTTTCTTCTCATTATGGTACCTGATCCACAAAATAAAGCTTAATATGAACAGAGGAGAAGACCTTCGTGGCTAGTTTCCAGTAGAAATCCCATTAAATATAATAATCAAGAAATCAAGGTTAGGTAAATACAATGTATTCTGTCAAAAGCGTAGTATAACACTGGAACAAATGAAAAATCATCTAAATTTTTTTCTGAAAACTTTACTTAGTAAAATTAGTTAAACATTTGATTGTTTTTCCTCAATTTTACCCCATTTAAAAAAATAAAGATTTTGTAACTTTGGCATATATCTTACAATTTTATTATGGAGACGCTTAACTTTTGAGTTTGTATTTTGAGGCCTTGGTAAAGGTTAGATCGACCAAGACGGAAAATTGAATGGGTCGTAAGGTTGCAGACTAACTTTTATCTAACCTTTTTTTAATATCTAATATCGATGAATATAAAACGTTATTTATCTACATCACAAAAACCTTCGTTTAATGCAAACGACGAACATCTTTAACCATTTGAGCCCCACATGATCAGTGATAGGGAAGAAATACAAAAGAACAATCTGGATCTATGTCGAGAATAAAGCCTGGATCTTCTGTTTTGTTTAGTAAGCGTAAATCGCGAAGCCACTGTGGCTATTCCATAACCAAAAGGACAAAATTTCCTTTTATTTTTCTGACATCTTCACCTGGCTAGAAGTGAAATTATCATATGTATTGTACTAAGTGTATAATTCCACTGTACTGATATTTTTTTTCTAGTCTAGTCCTGAAAATAATTGAAAACCTAAATGTAATCCTTATAGAGGTGTTATACAATATAGGTTTTTATGAAAGAAACTAAATTATCTATTTTATTATCGAAGAGCCAGACTTCAATAGTTTTGGTTTCTTTCAGTTTCCGTTTCCATCTGAAGATTCATCTCGACGAACGGGTTGAAGTCATTGTAAACTTTGCATTGATTGGACGAAATCGAATATTATCCCGGATTGATTAGACGACATCAAATACTCGTCTAAATTATTAAATCACATAAACCAGAAGCAATCCAAAAGCTTTTTAAAGCAACAAGCGAACAAGCCAGCATCCAGTTTGTAATGACACACATGCTAAGAGTACCAATCACATGCTACTTTTTTCGTTTATTGTATTAAAACAATGGCTTGTAAGCATAAGATATTTTTTTTGGGGATCTATTCTGTAAAAAAACATGGATCCACAATATTGCTTTCAAACAGGTTTTAACGTTGTCTCCGTTACTTCAAATGCGTCCATGGACAGTGCTTTACACTACTATCGGTCTTCTCTACATATTTCTTGTGGTCGCATTGAAAAAGGAAAAAAAAGATTTCGTTACGTACCTGAATTTTGGCGTATTAAACAACCCTCCCCACTCCTTCTCAGTCGGGTATTTATCTCTTATCAGTTGGATTATTAGCATGCCAATTGTTACGGTTACGGTTATAAATTTTTACTTCTGATTTGAAAGAGAGTAAGCAAGCGAGCGGAATGAATCAATATGAATGAAGGTTAGTACAGTCAATTAAATCCTAGGCTGAAGTAAAATTTAAGATTCTTTCTGCCAATCCTTTACTTTTTTGCTTCCGCTTTTTATGGCCGGTTGCGTGCTCAACATCAAACCAAGCTAGTTACATTAGAATATGCTCTTTTACCTTTAGCATAAAGAATCCAATATTCCCATATCATTTGATTACGATTAATTTAATCATTGATCAGAATTCAATTTACCATACCAAATCTAGACCAATACTCTCAATTCTACTGCAGGAATCTAAATTACAGATTGATTTTCTAGATGAGGTGTTAATTCCTACTAGTTCCTTCTGACAGTATTCCAATATTCAATACACTTAAATTCATTTAATGATGCTATTCAAAGTGCTCTAATTATTTAAATGGGGTTAAACCGAATATTCATTGTCACTTCATGTGATCGCAGACTGGTGGTGCCAGAGAGGTCGTCTAGAATCTACCAATGTACAAAATAGGAAATGAAGTCGAATTGCTATTTAAGTATATTTAAGTAAATATATAGAAAATTAATACATCAAATTGTCTGCGTGATTTATAGTTATCGATATCATTTGTCAAAACTTTCTGTCTGTATTAACCGTAGTAATACTGAACAACTTTAGAAAGATTCGATCAATGCATTGTAGGATGTAGACACAAAGAAATTTTTAACGTATGGTTTCTATGGGAAAAAAAGCATTTTACATTATCTTCCACTAGACATGAAGAGACGACAAACAGAGACTAGAAACTGACAGAAATTATCATATCAAATACATCTAAATCACTACTATAATCCTTGATCTTTCCTTTCTCAAATTTCTGTGGAATAAGTGAAAAACGACATGGTCTACTGTCCCCTTTCTCGCTTTCTTGTGTAGTAGATAAAAATATTGCCAATAACCACTTTTAGAGTCTAAACATATGAAAGGGTGTGCTATAAAAGCCATCAACTCAGTTATAGAAGTAATATTAGATATACCAGCTACGTCTTTTGTATGTATTGCTCAAATCAACAATCATACATTAGGTGTCACTTTCCGTTTGGACAAGCTTAATTTAAATTCTGTATTCTCAACATTATGTCTTAAACTTGAGTTATTGGATTTAAATGTAGTGCAACAATATTTTTTTTTGTTATAAATGCATACTGAATAATAAAATCTCACTTCACTACTAGTCACTCTGAATAACCCGCATTGCAGAGTAAACAGGCATGACCTTCGTTTGGTTGACAAATTTACAGGAATGAATCTAACTTTTACCCTTTTAAGTTAAATTTCTTTGGTATCGATGTTAGTTTTCAATATGTATTTTTTCTACAAGGCCGTACCGAAATAATTTTCTGTTCTTCGGGATTTCTTGAAAAAAAAAAGGTACGAGCGAACGAAATTTTTTTTTTAATTTAAAAAAAAAAATGTCTAAAAGTTAGTAATCATTGATTTGGTCGGTGCGATATAATATTTTTTAATTTTTTAAAAAAAAAAGTCCCTTCGTACCATTAAAATTTTCCAGCATGGATGATTTTGAATGTATTCAGATAAAATAACAATTAATAGTATTTATTTATGGTGTAAAGGCTTCAAAACATTTTGATATGGCACAACTAGCTGTTTTAAATTTGTCATGGTGCGTATCGACATACCACAAAAAATTTGTAATCTTCCACAAAATTTTTTTGGACAGTTTAACTGGTCTTTTGACCAGCCATCATCAATTGTTTTGCACCAATCTAGCACATCACAAAATAGTTTTTGAGGTCCAGTTAAGGTTTTGTCAAAGACTGGTGGTGTAGGTTTTTCAGGAAACATGAATGTCTTTCTTGATGCCATCATAAAATCGAACACATATTTATCACTTTTGCAAGTATTACAAACAGGTTCTTCAGACGAAGAATGAGAAGGCAAGTTAATTAAAAAGTCCACAAACTTGGATTTCAGTTCATCACACAGAGAAATTTTCAACGAAAGTGTAACCAAGACACCGCCTGATTTTAACATATTGTCCTTGATGTACACTTTTTCTGGGATCTGTGATATGCACGATTGAATTCCTGTAGATGCCAGATCATAAACATCTTTAAAATTGTTTTCAGGCTCAACATCAGTATGGCAAAATAAGTTTCTGGTGTGACCTAATTTTGATTACTAAAATAATTTTGGTAAAAAAGACAAATACAAATATTAACTATAGCACTGCATCGGCCATGCCTATTTCTGATAATTAACAACTTCCGGAATTTCGATGCGTTCGGTCCTCGAGAAAACGTTCTTGCTTCAGCGAAGGGCCTAAACTACTGTACGAACTCACTCTTTCAACAGCTGGAACATGTTCTACTATAATTGTCGCACGATGTCCACAAACTGACAAACGGAAATAGAGGGCGCAATTTGTTACTCCCGCTACCAAATTTTAGGCTTAGAGAAATAAAAATGAAATTAAAAATGAGAGCTAAACAATCATGTTATCTGATCAATTTAGAGGTACGGACATACGGGCAATATAATTTTTTTTTTTTAAATCAAAAATTTTTTTTTCAAAATTTTACATACGGGAGCTCTTTTGACACATACGGCATATTATTTTTTAATTTTAGAAATAAAATTTCGATAACGGAAAATCGGGTACGAAATTCCCGACGAACAGAATATTATTTTGGTATGGCCCAATTCATAGAGACTTTTGATAATATGATTTTCTAATAAATGTCAGTGTAGATTATGGTGTACTAAGCAAGAGATCTAATGTAAGATTACGTGTAGAAAGCTAGAGATGTGTAAAAATTAAATTCTAAATGTAAGGTTCATGTAACTGTCAATATCACTTAAAGATAGTAGAAGTCTACCATTAACAAACATTATCTTAGATAAGAGAATTTCTTACTATGACATTAGAAAGAAAAACCGCAATAGGAACCTGAGAATGTTCATTCATAGAAATGTAATATAATATTATAGTTCTATGGTTTAACCAACTTTCCACGAACTGAGAAGGGTCTCAAAATTACTTGGACCCGTTTTGACAGTAATTACAGGGTCATTTTGGATTACTAACCCGTTAAAACTTATATTCATTCTATACAATCATGAATACAGACCATGTTTACTTTTCTACCAGGCGCCACTCACATCCATTCAAATTCTCTAATTAGCTTCTGTTTTTCTTAAAATCCTCTAGATAGCTCCTTATTCTTAGAGTAGCTTTTTTTTGTTTTATTAAAATCCTAAAGATATCTTCATTTTTCTTAGAGTATAGCTTCTTTTTTCTTAAAATCCTCTAGATAGCTCCCTTCTTTATTTCTTACGATACTCTAAAAAGCTTTTTTAAGAACAATCTAATAAGTTAATAATGCACATTTAATACACATGTACTTACTCGATATATAAATCGAATATTAAACATTTTCTGAGCTCACGGGAATTTTCGATTTTACAGTGAAAAGTCAAGTCAATTTATATGCTGGTATTCGATTATTCACTACTGTGTCTGAGTGAATTCTACTTGTTGAGGGTGTATTTATAATATGTTGTAGTCGTTCTATAATAAAATTGCAAAAATCAAGTAGCACTTGAAATGGATGTCTTAAAATATAATAAGAACAAAATCAATATCACATCAATATGCAATCTGCTATTCAGAACTACTTTAAAATTCATAATAAAACAACGTTACAATCGATAACCTTTTACAGAAAGAATAATTACATGTTTGTTTGCTTTCAAAACTTCATTTTGGTGCTGGGTTGACAAACCCAATCGCAGAGTCTCATTTTCAGTTCAGGAAGGGTAAATATACTGTGCCTTGCTAAGGCTACCTACCGCAGTAATATTTATGGAAACAGCTGTTTTATATCAGATACAGATTTGTAGCTGGCTTCAAAACTTCTGTGATCGTGCCTTTGAAACGTTTTTTGAACATATCTTTCTATTTTATACGGTAAAGGATAATGTCTGATTCTTTAATGTCACCATTCAACGAATGCAGCATACCAACTGAAACGAGTTATCATAAAATGATGGCTGTCTTTTGAGACTGCGTTCGATATAATATGTTCTACCTTTCACATTCTCAGGTCTTAAGAATGCGAGAACAGAATGAATAGCAACGCTGAAAGGAAACGCCTGGATGTATATTTATATTGGTTAACTGCATTGAACACCTTTCCAAATGATATTTTTTATTTGGAAGCAGAATTCAGTAGTATATACGTGTCAAAATAATTCATAGCCTGTTGAAAATTTAGTCCTCCAGAGAATCCGCTTCGACCTTATGATGTTGCTTCATTCTGTCTTCATTATAGCGTAATAGGAAATTTCATTTTTTAGTATTGACAATTATCAACAACATGCGGATCTAGTAGGGTCAATATAGATTCTTTTAAGCAGAAATATTATTTTGGAATGTTATGCCATGTCCTGAAACTATTGTCGTTAACCGACCATGTCATAATACATTTGTGAAGTTAAGTTCGTATTTTTTTTCTTTTAAAAATAAACAAGACCGAACAGATTATGTTATAGTTTCTAAGTTAATCAATTAAGTCTATTATAAAGATGACAACGAGAGAATAAAATAGAGTATTGACAGATTCCGTGTCTATTTATCTCAGTAGTTGAAAGACTTTGTTGCTATAACAATCTTTAGAAAGTCTTTTGACACTAACTTGGTCAAGTGACATTAGTGCTCATTGTGAGCAATTTGTTTCAGAAATTTCCACGCATACAGCTGCCATATCTGACATGCAAACGGTCATCTAAACACGGAACATTTTAGTAATCGTCTAGACCAAGTACCGTCAACATGCATTAAGTGACCAATGGTCATGGTCATTCATTAACTAAGTGTTATTTGATTACTTTGAACGAATACTTAGTATACAATCTACAATTTTCTTAAGAGCAAATCAAGGATCATTTGGTTTCTCACCATATAGAAAGTTGAGCTGCCAATCTTCTCGCACCAAGACATAAATAGTTTTAATAGACCATCTTAAACTTGTTGAGGTTTTCATCAATACATTTATAGGAATTCTATAGTAACCTGTCCCCAATATTTCAAAACAAAATATTACAGTACAATATTTCAATAAACAAGAAGTCACTCATAACCAAAATTATTAACTGACCAGTTGAACTGGTTGAAAGTTGATAACAAAGGTACTTGACACTAGGTAACAGGTAACTAAAAAAAAAGAAAATGCCAGGAAAAGCTCATTCTTCAGGAGCACCGGATTGGATTGTGTGAGGGTTGGCAACTAAACCTCCACTCACAATTAAAAACATTAAATTGGTCCGAATTTACTCGTTATTAAGTACAAAGAATACAAAATCAGATATCATAGAGATCCAACTTTTGCTTCCTGTCTAACTTATAAAGTTATAAATACGCTTACGAAAGCGATGTATACTAGGATAAACAGGTGTTATGAATTATTGAAGATTAAATCAGATATACAAAACTTAAAACAAGATGTATCTGACTAATTCAATATCGGTTAATATCAGAAAATACATTTTCAATTTATTAAAAATACGATTTTAGAGACATAAAAAAACGATATTGAGATAACGACCTCACAAGGCTCGTTCACATAACGAAGCTTGTACGTAAAATATTAATATAATGTTATTTTATCAACTTCAAACAATTATATTGTCTGTTTTCAACTGTGCTTAAAGACTACGGAGAGAAGGATAAGGATAAAATAAATGAATAAACAGTACATACCTGTCCAAGAATATACAAACTGCAATAAAATATTTATATACACCAACAGTATCCAAATCGGAGCCTTATTCAACATGATTCAATGATTACTTCCCATTCAAACCATTATAACTTGTCGATTGATAACTATCTATTGAATCATACTAGTCAATAGTTCTTCACTTCATTTAGTATCGCTAATACCAAGTAAAAAATAAAATCAGTAAATTTCACAAAAACAATGTTCATAATTACTAGACAAAACAATGCCAAGTGGGAAACTTCTGCAAAACTGTGCGCATGTCGTAGAGGAAAACACGGTGTTATTTTACCATATATAGATTCTCTTCATGTCGACTAGATATTGATCCAATACGAGAGATAGGAGACCGACTGTCATTAAGTTTTTAACACAACTGATATATATGGCGGAAAAAAGTGTTGAAAATTCTCTTCTGTTTGCTTTTTCGACGTTTTGTTATTTGTTTAAAGCATGAATAATGAAATGAAATGGCATCTTCACTTAATCCGGATATTTATTGCAGATATGACAAGAATCTTGATAATTTAATAAAGAGGCAATTCAACTGAAATTTTTCTTCTCCACAAAACACTTGTTCAAAGGGAAGTTTTCTAATGAGACTGTGATATGGAAACGTAATGGATTTAAGGATCTACTTTAAAATAAATAATCGAATAAAACAGGTCCATATTACTTCATCTGAAGAAACTATTGATACATTATTTGGCAATTTCTAAATTATTAAGGACGATATTGAGCATGGTATTGATGAATCGTCTCAAAAAGGAAATTGTGGTCTGTGGATTTATTCATTCCACTTCTTGCTATTATCTTTTAGGATCAACTTAAATGCAATTTAGGGCCTCGAAATATTCAATCATATACGTGAACATTATGTTACATCATGAACATAACTTGACAAGCATAAAGGTATTTCAATACAAGTAACTCCCAACATTATTTTGCTCTGAGCACGGTTTCCCATCAACAAAGTAACATTATTTTTCTTTGAGCACGGTTTCACCATACCAAACTAACAATGTTTTGAACTATGGGTATATTGACTAGCTGAAAAGGAGTGCAGAGTTGAGAAACCCATTCTTGGGATAGTATAAGGGACTAAATGTTACTAGATGTCAAGGTTGTTCATTCATCTGAAGTGTTATCTTGAAGGTATGACATTATGTTTTAGTGGTATTTACAATACATTTAGTTGTAATCCCTACATTAGGCTAAACCTTATTAGTATCCATGATTTTCATATATATCTGA